AACCTTTTGTTTCTTGTTGGTGGCAAACGAGGTGGTTGATTCTTTTGATACCGGGCTCGGTCGTGACCTTACTCAGTTGAGGAGCACTGTGTCATTCAGGAAACTCGTGAGACGCGTTCACATAATATGTGTTTCCCATGCAGGACATGAGAAGCAAAAGCGAGTCCCTTTGCTTTGTGGGATTTCATGGGCGAGCCTCGCCCATGCCCAAGCGGACGATAGACTATATACTCACTGAGATCAGATCGACTAGCCCTAAGGGTTCCGACGGTTTTTGGGCTCTCCAAATGGGTTGTTTTTGAGGGCCCGTCAGGAATTGGTCGGGTTCTCCATTGGAGGGTCCGGGGGTCTGCGTTGGAGGGGTCATGACACGTAGGGAAGAATCATTATGTTGCCGGGAAAACGTGGAACCAACCACGCGCCTTCGGGCCTTCCGAGACCCAACTCTGCCTTCAGAAGCTGCTTGTCAGTGGGTCCATGCTATAGGCAGAGACTTGATTGGATCTTTCTAGCGGGGATCAATCTTCCTGGGCCCTAAATGACTGTTGGGTAACTTTTCCCATGTGAATCGCATCTTTTTCGTGGTTTCCCAACCAGGAGGACCTTTTGATCAACCCCCATATCTCGCGGTTGGAGATGTGAAGTTTCCCACCATCTCCTGGCAACACACCTGAAGATGTAAAAGCCTTCTCATTGAGTTGCATAAAAAGACACAAGCATATTTTGCTGGAAATCATGACCCCTCTTGAACCTCCGGCGCAAAACGTCACTTCTTCGGCTCAAAACAGGCTTGCTTTTCCACAATATGTCCCCACCTGCCGGATTGAAACATCACCTCGGCCAATGTAAAATGAGCCTTCCGAAAAGGGTGCGAAAAAAAGGGGAAATATGGGACGCCCTGCAAACCTGTCATTCATCCAAAGCTTCCACTTGCTTAAGATGTTGTTTTTCGGCTTTTGGTTTTAAAGGGCATCCATCACTAAAAAAAAATAGTTTTCCAGGGGGCTGCAGCGCACTTCTGCCAGTCCTCCACGGCTTTCGGGTAATTCGGCTCAGTCCCCATTTGATCCACCGGCTCGGCGAATTCGAGAAATAGAAGCGAGCGGATCAGAAATTGGTGGTGTCCCTTTCCAAATGAGACCATGTCGATGTTTCTGACAGCGGATTTTCTAGAAGAGTCGGCTTAAAGATTTGACTAGGTCCCCCAGCGAAAGGGGGTCATTTCTTTCTCACCAACTTGTTTGGTTGGGAGATTCGGTTCTCCTACTAAAATAGACTACAAAGAAAAGTTGGTACCCTTATTCAAAGCTCTCTACTGGAGGACCAAGTTGATGTCCTTTGGCTTTAGCTTCAACCAACAAGGAGTCCACCATTTAAGAACATGTCTGAGTATAATTTGCGTCCGGTACTTGATGAGACCATGCCTGTGAGTATGAGAAGCCAAGTAAATAGTCTGTTGTGGATCAACAACCTCCTGCACCAGCAGAGCTGGACGAAACTAGCTGAAAAAAGATAGACTACTGGGATATCCACCCCCTACCTGCGGCAGCATGTGGTCCATGAGAGCACCTCCCCCGAGCGATCCAGCATATCCAGCCCATGCACCTTTGGGCTTCCTTAGTCAAAGGTTTTTAGTTGTTCAATTCTGGCTGGTTTTAGAGTAGCCCCTCAAGTTGAACCTCTGCTTTGAAGAGCCCTCCGAATTCATGTCGGTGTATGTCGGTGTAGTAACCTAGGTCCCTCAGCTAGGTGCCCATTCTTTTGCCCCTTTGCTTTGGGGGAGGGTTCCCCTACTAATATAGACCACAGAAAAAAGTTGGAACCAACTTATTCTAAGCTCTCTACTGGAGGGCCTAGGTGACGTTAAGCCAAGGTGAGCCACGCTCAGAAATCTCCAAGCCAAAGCACTAGGCCAGTGGCTCAAAACCGAAAACACAAAGGGTAAGGGAGAATCCCCTTGCCGTTGGTGGCTCCCAGCCATCCGGTTCCTTAGCTTTTTGGCCGTAGTGTTTAGTGCAAGTGTCCATCTAACTTTCAATTCAACCCACTAAAAGTGTTTTTTTAAGCGGGATCTGAGGGCAGCCCTGATAAATGAGTGCAGCCCCGCCTTGGTTACTTTCTTGAATGGTTCTGGCTAGGCCAGAGCACCAGGTTTTGATTATGACTCAGGTGAGATTCTAGCAACCGCACAGCGAACAGTTGCAGTAAATGACTGGTCTAAGGAGAGAGCGAACGCTGCCCGAGAGCTGTGAAGTCGGTCCTTCGGACTGCGGGAGAATGTTTCCAGAAAAATTGACAGTGAAGTATCACATTGAATGGTCAAAACCGAGGTCGAGGTTTGGTTTCTAGAGGCAATGTAGGGTATGTCTCAAGACAGGATCCCGTAATGGATAAATGTGGGCCAGTTAACAAAAAGTGGTTTTTGCAAGCTGACTAGGGTCCCCCAGCAAGGTGCCCTTCTCACCCTTTTTTGGGGGAGAGTTCCCCTGCCAAAATAGACAAAACCGGAAAACAAAAAGTCGCCTTATTCGAACCTCTCCACTGGAGGACCTGGTCTACCAGGAAACCTACCGTGCGGACCGCAGGATTTTTAGTGCTCTCGCGTCCCGGGGCACGCCCAAAACACCGCCGGGAGCGGAGTTCATCCGCGCCGCCCCCAGGAAGCTGGGAGTTCTGTGTATGGTGGCTCGACTCTTTTGAGGGCACCCCTCAACGAGAAATAAGCTATTCAAAGGAAGATCCGCTATTCAAAGGAAGATCCGCCATCTTGGGACATGGCGATACGTTTACATACAACTTGCTAAAGATCCTTGTCTCAAACTTAGACCCACATGTTTGGTTTCATTTTGCTTTCCTGTTTTAAACAAACCAACCGGGGAGTCCCCCAAAAAAATGAGCCTGAGAGGTCCTAGAGGTCGCGACGGGGGAAAAATCTTTCGGGCAGCGGTTGGGGCACTTGGAAGGATTCGCAGGTTGGGTGTTTTTCAAGACCACCCGTTTGCTGGCAGAGACAGAGACGGAGTGACGAAGAGAAACACGGACGCAGACAAAGAAACGGACACAGACACAAACACGGACACACAGACAGATACATGAAAGTCACATACTATGCATGTTATATACATATATATATATATACATATTAATATAGATAGATAGATGTGTACACACACCTGCATGAACAGAGGCATGTTGTCCAAAGTCCACATAGATGTACCTGCTGGGTTCTTCGCAGACAGAGCTGTCTTCCCTGCGCTTCCTGCCTCGTAGCTGGGTTGCTAGATTTGAGCTGTCCCGTGGTCAAGGCTTTTCTTTGGTTTTCCTTGGGCGTTGGAGCAAGCCCAAGTGTTGGAACTTGCCACTTCCTTTGCTTCTAAGCGGGGCAACAGGAGCTACGGCTTCGCGGAGATGTTTCCATCTCGAACTTGGCTCAGTCTGGTTGCATCTAACTCTGGCGCTCACCGAACGATCTGGAAGTGACCATCGGAGCTTAGGGGCCTGGACATCAGAGCACGTCTGTCTCTTTTTGAAGGTACCCGCTTGTGGGGTGGGGGGGGGGGAGAATATTTGCTTCAGGACTTAAGCAAATCGAGGTTTGCAACTCTTGATATGGCTGTGAGCCGTCAAGGACGGACATTTGTTTTCAGCCTTGGGGAAAACGTTTTTCCGACGGCAAAGAGTGGCCTAGCGCAAGGGCTGGGTTTGTCGTGCACTTTGGGTGCCCTTTGAGGGGACTCAAAGAAACACCACCTATTTCGGGAGGGGGGGGGGGTTCGCTTTCCTTTGGTTCCCCTTTCAGGTTTCCATTCGAAGGCTTGATTCCCCTTGACCCATCTGCCATGTCACAGAAGGATCCCTGATGAGAATAGGGCTCTTTAGACGGAGGGGTTCAACAAATCTATCAACATTTAGGCATTGAAGGAGTACAAAGATACCCCCCATGTTTTCCATTTTGTTAAAGAAGGATCCCCGAGAATTGGGAAGGCGCGGCGTCCATGTTTCTCGCCTCGTGACTGGGGGAACTCCGCAGCCTGCAAAACCGTTGAGGCCATGCCACCTACGCCTGCCGTACACCTGAGGAATGCCAAGGCGGGATGGCATTTGTTTGGACCCGCGTGGTCCAAAACGAAACCCAGATACATGGCTGTCGTTGCGAAACAGTTTTGACATTTTGGCTTTTTGTGGTTGAGTGGGATCCGTACTTAACTGCTTATAAAAAAAAAATAGGTGTTTGCTCCCCTTCCAACATCAACCAGGCAAATGGCAGGTGCCCGCTTTTTGGGTTGGTTGAAAGGGGAACCCTGAGGAAACCCCACCATTTTTCGGGGACCCGGATAAAAAAAGGGCAGAAGGACACCCAAACCTGAATGGAAGTTTCTCAACATACTGATGCACGAACTCCGTTCGCACCATGTTGAAAGCTTGGTTGAAACCATTGTTTGTTGGTACGGAAATCGAATCATTCCAGGGTTTGTTAGGTGGTGCAGGATTCCGTCCGTCCACGGTGGGGATTCCCGAAAAAAGCACGGCCCTCCTTTTAGCTTCCCTTCACCAGAAGAATTCCGACGCTTATGAGACTTCCAAACGTGCCATCAAATGATCTCCTGCGTTGGGACTGGGACTTCGATTTTTCGACCATCATCTCCGGGGTCTCCTCCAAATCTCGTTCAACATTCGTAGACTAACTATGGAACAGAGTCAGACACTCATGTTTTGGGACTGGGACTACTGGAAGAGTTTGCTTACACTGCTCGCTCTCGGACGGACGACACGGCTCTCCGAGGCAGTTGCTAGGCATCGCTTCTCGGTGTCCCGAAGGCCAGGTTTTTTCCGGGGGGACGGGTGGACGATTGGGCTGGCGAAAGTTTATGGCCTTCAACCCAAAAAGGGGATCCCTTAAAAGCAGACACCTCTAACACAACGATGGGTGTGTCTTTTAGTTGAGGGTACCTGTCGGCCAAAAAAGTGGTTGGTCATGGCCCCTGATTTTTTGAGTAACG